TCTCTCTCTCTCTCTCTCTCTCTCTCTCTCTCTCACACACACACACACACACACACACACACACACACACACACACACACCCTTAGTCTCCTCACATAAAGGATGAGTATAGTACTATTTTCCTCAGGTTGTCTGTCTGGAAAGATGATAGGGCCAAGATAAGTTTGCTAAGAGTGCAAATGCTTTTTAATGGTAATCAATGACACATGGAAATTTTGATCCTTCTCTCTCCTGAGTTTCTAAGTGAAGGGGGAAACCATATGTGTTGTGTGATATTTTGATTAGGTTCTGACAAATGGAGTCAGAGGGCAGAACTATCCACTAGCTAACCATAGAGGTTTGGAGGACTGTAGAGAGAGGGACAGGAAGTGGTAAGGCAGGCCTGAGACAAGATCTTTTGGTTGGAGGAACAGAGGTAAGAAGTCACTATTGGCTGCTCCCCTGCTTCTCTAATCTTTCAGGTTTTTACCCCGGTATGTCTCCTAGTATTTATTGATAACATTAATTAGATTTGTATTTCACATATGTTTTTAATGATTGGTGCATCCACTTTCATAGATTCAAATATTGAGATGTCCTCAACAGTTTGTAGTCTTAAAAAAAATCACTTTTTCCTGTTTGTGATGAAGCCAATAGTATTAGGTTCATTTTATTTTCCTAAGTTGTGTGCTATTTTTTTCTCACTCTTGATGTACCTGTTTGGTCTTTAGCACAGATGGGTACTGCTTCACAATGATAGAAGAAGATGACTCTGGGACGCCTGTTGTCACCTCTGGATGTCTAGGACTAGAAGGGTCAGATTTTCAATGTCGCGTAAGGAAGATAACTTGAATTTACTTTGTAACCTACATTGACTAAATTTTCAAAAGTATTCAAGCAAAATAAAACAATCCTTTTGTTGTGGCTATCCCATGTTGAATAGTCTGTAAAATAGTTGAAAACTCTTACTAGCCAATCTCTTTCCATTTTCAAACCATGTTTTCAAATGAGCTATTAACATCTTACTTAGCTTCTATTTAGACCATCTTTAAATCCAGATTATCTTTTGTTTAAACTGAGACTAGATTATTTTATTCAATGTATGCTGTTTACTACAAGTACAATAATATTTTATACTGAAACAGAAATCTTGTAATGGTACATGATAATTTGAAATAAATTTCATGATGGAAAGTAACATTTTCAATTTTGAGCAAAATTATTAGAACTTTAAATGTGTTCTCTAGTGACAATCGGTTAAATTTTAGGTGATATGATATTGAAATTTAGAGGAAACCCATTAACAGTTTTTGCATTCCATTTTAGGACACTCCCATCCCTCATCAAAGAAGATCAATTGAATGCTGCACAGAAAGGAATGAATGCAATAAAGACCTTCACCCTACTCTGCCTCCGCTGAAGAACAGAGGTAAGGCAGGTGAAGAGGGGCTTTGGCTACTGAGGACGAGCACTGGACTCTTTCTCCTTGCCAAATTCATTGGTGCCATGTCTATTTTTGCCTTTAATTTGTCTCATTACCCACTGCTGGAGTAGAGGGCTGAGGCAAGCTGATATCATGAACGTCATTCAACAAATATGCAAGCAGATCTTGGCTTCGTGGCTGTATAGAGCTTCATTCTTAGGATCCTTGTTATTCTGCTTCTCCACACCTCTCCCCAGAAAGCTCGTCTTTGGAACACTTAAGAGTGTGCTGCTGGAGGTAGAGAACACGTAGTACTGCACACTCACTCATAATAAATTCCCACTGAAGCCTTCAAGCTTTTCAGATTAATTCATAGAAATTCACATAAGAAACTCAATTTTCTTTATTTCTATTTCAAACAATATCTTTTTTTATTATTATTTTATTTTACGATACTATTCAGTTCTACATAACAGCCATAGATTCCCTTGTTCTCCCCCTTCCTGCCCCCCTTTCCTTCCCCCCAGCCCACCCCCCATTCCCACCTCCTCCAGAGCAAGGCCTCCCCTGAGGACTGAGATCGACCTGATAGACTCAGTCCAGGCAGGTCCAGTCCCCTCCTCCCAGGCTGAGCCAAGCATCCCTGCAAAAGTCCCAGGTTTCAAACAGCTAACTCATGCAATGAGCCCAGGACCTGGTACCACTGCCTAGATGCCTCAAACAATATCTTAAGTGTTATGGATATAGAAATAGATGAAGAAAAATATTGCTTGCATAAATATTGCTTGCTTACACAAGATGTAAGAATTAACATGTAAAATATTAACTTACATTTGGTCATGAGTATTTCACTAATAGAGATAGATTACAAATCATATTAAGGATGGTTTAGTAACTTTCCTGTTGCTGTAATAAAATACCCTGACAAAAAGCAACTTTGAGAAAAAGGGGCTTATTTTAACTTATAGTTCTAGAGAGGTTGGGGGGGGTGGGGTGGAGAGAGACAGAGAGACAGAGACAAAGAGACAGAAAAGGAAGTAGAGTCAGGCTATCAAAACTCAGTCTACCCCCAGTGAAGCACTTCTTCCAGCAAGGCTTTACCTTATAAAGGTTCTTTATTAACATTCTCAAACAGTGCCACCAACTAAGGACTGAGTACTTAAATACTTGAGATTATGGGAGGTTTTATGGGAGGTATTCTCATTCCAAAGGCAGTATCACACCCCTAGCCCCCATATGATTATGGTGATTTCATGCTACAAAATGCATTTAGTCCAACTTCAAGTTTAGACGTTCTTTAGCAACCCCAGCAATGTTCAAGAGTGCAGTCTCCTCTGAAACCCAAGGCTGTCTTTTCACTGTCACCCGGTTTAAAAACAAACAAACAAACAAACCCAAATTATATACTTTCAATATCCACAGCATAGAGTATGCATTCCCGTTCAAAAAGGGAGGAATCAGGACATAGTAAAGCAAGACTAAACCCCAGCAGAACAAAAGCCACCAGGCTTCTCTTTCAAATGGCTTAGATGACTCTACCCCTCCAGCTTTGCAACATGCAGCATATCTCCCTTTCTTGGCTTGGTTCTATGCCCATATGCAACTCTTCTTGGCAGGTATCCCACTGTTCTGGCATCTCCAATAGCCTGGAGTCTCCATGGAAACATAGGCGTCATCTTCACAGTTTTATGCATTGGCCTTTGCAGCCTCCTCACAGGAACTTTAACTCTGTTGTGATGCCTAGTCTTGGACACTCTCTGAAATTATGGTGGAAGAGTCCATGACATCCTCAATATTATATCTTTCATGCATCAAAAAGAAGTAAAGTGTGGATATGAAGTTTTGCTACCAGCTAAGGATGGAGCCTAATGTCCTTGGGCTATGTTTGTAGCAGATTTTGTATGCTGAGGCCACTGAAAATTATCCCTGGATATTTGCTTTTTTGGAGTAGGGAACCACTTGGGCTGTCTCCTTTCAGAAATTGGGACTCTAACCTGGTAGAATCTTGTCTCCAGGGCACCTTTCCTGTTGTTACAGTGTAGCACAGGAGGGTTCTTATCAATGGTGATGCTCTTAGGAATAGTGATAGACTCCTTTCAGCACATGGCTTGACTGAAATCTCAAGTTTTTTAGTACTTTTTTTTCTCCCCCAAATTGCACATTTTAAACTTTCTTTTGCCCTATTTGCTTTCTTTTTCTATTGTAGACATGCACAAATGTAATCAAGAATAACCATGCCACAGACTCCATGTTATGCTGCCTGAAATTTCCTCTGCCATAAAAATTAGCCCATTCTTTTAAATTCAGCCTCAAATAATTTCTCAGCACATGTGTAGAATGCAGCCGATTCTTCACCAAAATATCACATGAATGACCACTGGTCCAATTGCCATTTGCATCCTTGTGACCCTCTGAAACTTCTCGAGATTTGTCTCCACTGTTTCATGTTACTCTCAACCTTCCTGTTTTCCAAGCATTCACAAGAATGGCCCACTAAGCTCTGCCCACAGCACTTTCCAGTCTGAAGTTCCAAAATCCTTCACATCTCTCTGAAAAACATCATGTCAGGTTCACCACAGAAACAAACCTACTTCTCTGTTACCAATTTCTGTGTTAGTTACTTTTCTGTTGTTGTATAGAATATCCTGACAAAAGGCAACTTTGCAGAGATATAGCTTGTTTTGGCTTCCAGAATACATAGAGTACATAGACAGTGGGACTATGAGGCTGAACATAATAGGACTAGTTCTGCATCAAATGACAGGGTAGCACATTAGCCTTAGAGATGTGACCACTGAACAAGAATCAAGGATGAACAGGAATTTACTAAATGGGTGAGACAAAATGTTAAATGAAAATGAAGATGACTAACATATCCAGGTATTATACTAAGTGTTACATTAACTAACTCATTTGAGTCTTACAACCCCATGAGGTGTTTGCAATGGACATTCCCATTTAAAGATGAAAAACTGCAGTATAAAAAGTATAACAGGATTCAGTTTTGTTAGGAAACGGGTGGCAATCCTTACTTTTCTTTCAGAGGTATCCCCACTTGCCTGCAGAATTTCAGTTGGTTCTACTCCCTGAGAAGTTGGAGGGACAGCGTAGGTAGAAATGGTCTATCCCAGAAGGGCCTCAGGTGATCCTCTTCTCTTCATGGAAGTCTGAAAGGGTTTCCTCCCAGGAATATTCATGTTAATACTCCAAGTGCAGACAGTGACAGAATAGCACAAGACTAATATCACCAACGGATACAGGTTTATTGATAAGAATCCACAGTTCATAAACCAAGAGAAGTAGGCAGCGGGTTTAACTGCAAAAAAGGGTTATTGTGGGAAAGAAAAGGAAAATACAGAATAATGCTAGCCTTAAATACAGTGCTGGATGGTGAAGAAAGACTTCCTTATGTCTTTGTGGTTTTATTCCTGTCATAAGTCAGAAATGTAATGAGTAATAAACACATGGCTGGCAGTTCACAGTGTAGTCTGAGCTCTGCATCTACATAAAAAGGCAAAGAGAAACAGTTTTAGCCAAATGATAGCATCAGAGTGAAAACATTCTGGGTTCATGAGCTGGAAATTCATTGTGATCCTGTGGTTAGATTTAATTTTAGTAAAGGAATATTCTCTTTGGATTCCTAAAAATGTAGAGTTGTCCTTAAAATTGGAAATAGAATATAAGCTGTGTTTTCCAGTATAAGCAAAGATTCCAGTCTTTACATGTATATGTAGGGCATAAAAGAAAGAAATTTAATACAGTTGTAGCCTATTTACTTTTAAGGACCTATCAATTATTTTTGACATTTTTTAAAGCAACGTGTTCCAAACAATGTATGTGCTAATTTTTACTCCTGTTTGCGATGGCTTTTTGGACAGTACTTCAGTGGTTCAAGCGTCTATACTCTTTTTTTTTTTTAATGGGACATTTATAACAATTCTGAACTGGATAATTTTTTTTTTTAAAAGCTACTTTCTGATGACTTCCATTTAGTCTCTTGAGATGTAGCCTACTTTCATTCATATTTGCAGGTAGTATATGGATCATAAGTGTTCAATACATATTTTAGATATCAGTAACTGTTATCAGATTTGTCAAGAAAAAGTGTAAAGATCTGTTGATTAGAGTTTACAATAACTGATCCAAGAATTTTAGGCAACATTGCAAAGTAAGTTTATTTTCAACTGTTATTATCCCAGTTCTTACAGTTATATAACTATTTATGAGACAGTATCCTTGTTCTTATTATTTGTAATAAGAACTCTGAATTATTTAAAGGTGGATAGCAACATTGTTCTGCAACCTCAAATAGTCTAAATTAATACAGGCACTCAAAATACATAATGGAAAAGCAATGTGAATGCAAATGTGTGTACATATGTATGCACCTGAGGACGGTTTTGTGTAAGGGGTGATCAGAGAGCAAGAGAATTATAACACACATGACAAAATGTAAGTAATGAGAATTATGAGTGAAGGACATATTGGAATTCTTTTGTCCAAAGCTGAAATTATTTCAAAATAATTAAAATTATTATATTGAAAATGAATTAGAAAATATTTGGTCTTTTTAAAGGATATTTGATAGTATTATGAGAAGATTTATAATATCTGTCCTCTGAAGTAATAGTTTGACATCTAAGAATAGTAGATACTGTCATAATCAAAGATGTGTGTCTATTTGTTACATAATTGTATATGTTATAGGAAATCTGCATTATAACAAAATTTCTTAATGTCACAACAGAAGGTTGGTTTCTAATTAGGATGTTTCTATGTAAGGTACTGTGTCATCTTTGAATACAACTTGTGGGAAATGTTTCCAATATTATAAACAAAAATAGTTTAACTAGCATAGTGGAAGTATTGTAATCTTAGCCCTTGGGAGGCTAAAGCAGAAAGATTTGAAGTTTGAGCTAGCCTGGGTTATATATATAGTAATGCTTTCTCCATAAAATAAAGAGAAAAGAATCCAGTTACAAGATGATACCGTATCCCTTGTGAAATACTCTTGGTTAACATTTTTGTTCATTGAAATGAAACTGTAATGGTTTATGTGCAGCTCCTGTTAGTAATTTGTTAAGTATGTAATGATTTCATCTATTTTAGTCAATTGGTCCTTTCATGGAACATATACTACTTGTTAAGGATGTAATGATTTCATCTATTTCAGTCAATTGGTCCTCTAACTTTTTTCATGGAGCATATACTACTTTTTATTGCAAAAAAATCACATTTGGAGTGAGAGAAAGCCTCTTGCCAAACTTTGAATATGTCTATTTATATATGGGTACAGCTGGGAAAACATCTTCTTGTACTGGTCCAAGTCATCCCTTAGAGTCCTACCTTTTCAGCTATGTAGAAGTCATCACTTTTCTCAGGGACTGGTTGTACCTTTCCTAAAGCTGCTAATTATGTTACTGTACGACTGGGCTTAGTTTCAACTCATTTTTGCTTAAATACCCTGAGCCACCTGAATAAAAATCACCTGGGATGTTTGGTTACAAAAAGGTATTTTGAATAAATATTTCTGGGCTTGAAGTCAGTAAACACACGTTGATATCTTAAAACATTCACATGATGTTTGAGAAAGCTTGCTTTAAGCAAATCTGATTTGTCAAGAACTTGAGTTGATACAAAATGAGCAATATTTAATGATCCGTAGCTTAAGAGCACTGAACAGTCTTTGAATCAAACATTTCCATTTTAATGTTTTATTCCATTTTGAAAAATTAAGGTATATTTGTTAAAGGGCATAATTAATATAATGTACAATATAATGTACAAATTAATATAATTGTACAATATAATTAATATAATGTACAACATTTGAGGAGCCCTTATGCTTTGTATTCATCAGAAAGAAGCTTTGGTTATAATGAATATAGATTTGTTTTTGTTTCCCATCCAAAGAATATTCCAGATGCTAGATGAGAAGCGCTTACAAACCTGACTCTGGGATCACATGAGCTCCTGCTTGGCTCTTAGGCTCAGGGACCCATTTGCTCCTCATATTCCTCTTGTGGGTTTATTCTGTGTCAGGTCAGTTCCTTCCATAGAGGAGACTCATGTTGTTGAGATACACATCTAGATGAGTGTATTCATCATAGAAAATCACACAGTTTTGAGTACATGCCAGAGTCTAGCTCTGGATGAGGGCAGGGTCTGAAGATGGGTGGATGCAAGAGCAGCAATGGAGCAATCAGACATGGGATGCTTCTTAGTTTCATTTTAGGAGAGATGGACAGAGAAAGCATACGGGAGTCATCCCCAGTGGGACAGGTCCCAGCAGAGGTTGTAAGGAGTCAGCAGGGGAAGGAAGTGAGCCAGGCCATGGTGGTCAGGAGACTCGTGCAGCCTGACTAACTAGCAGCCAGAGTGTTTCTTTATTTATACAGAATTTAGTAAGCAGGAATACATTAATGATATTCCAAAACATAGAACATAATCATTTTTGGGTTTAGACATATGTTTCAGTTCTTTTTTGCTCATTTTTAGTCTTCATTAATAAACTATGACAGAACAGAGTTACCATTTCCAATCATTTTTCCTCAAGTTTTGACAACATTAATAAAAAGAGTTATCATTCTTACTCATTAACCCTATAACACACTTTTTAAGAATCCAGAGGCATATGACATCCTGTACTCAGGCTGGTAGCTTTGGTTACTACAAGGACGCTAGACCAAAACAAAATCTTCAAGCTTCTACAGGCACTTTGCCATGTCCCAAGTAGTGTATTATTAACTCTTAATACTATTATTATTAATAACTCTTGGTCAGAGTGCCCAAGAAAAAAATCCTCAGGCCAAAACTGCTACACTTATTATTCAAATTCTGGCATAACACAATGTTTATATCTTTATAACATTTGTCTATATGTCTAATCCTGGCAATCTGTTGTTAAGGTACAACATATGACCAAGGGGTCATATGACATTACTATGACTCTGTATGTGCTAACTTTCTAAGAGAGGGAGGTCTTGACATCTCATACTTTTATCATCTTTGCACTCCATACTTTTATCAATATGCCTCTATGTAGGGCAAAATTGTATGCCATGGATTTGTCTCATTGTACAGTGGGAAGAGACTTTTAATTTGAACTGTGGCCAATTCCTCTAGCCTACCAAATCTTATTGACCTTTTAAAGTTTACCTTGTTTTGAATAACTTATTCCTGTGTAAGTACAGGGACAGGTGTTTCAAGAATGTCTCATAGCCTCATGAAGAGACCTCTGGCTTCTTTATGTGTCACAACCATCAAGGTGTAAGGAAGACCTTCAAGTAGATAAGGATATCTTCCTAAAAACCGGGGAATAGTATGTTCAGGACTTTACTGGGGAAACTTAAAAGCAGCATTCCTAGAATAAATGATTCATGGGGAATTTTCCATCAATCCAACATCCCCAAATTGTACAAATATTAAAAGTGCCTCAAGTATGCAACAGGCAAAGATGAAAACCAAAGGCGGAATGGCGGCCACCCTGCCACTCAGCTCTGCTAGATCTTCGGCAAGCAGCTGTGCTGGCGCTATGACTTCTGCCATTCCATTCAGATATGGCTATGCCAAGTATATCTGTGTGTTTTCTCATAGCATATTAAAGTTTGTTTTTCCTGTATTTTGCTTATCATGTTTTAATCCAACTTGGGGGAAAGAGTTTATCCCTTTTGAGTAAAAATATGTGCTGTTTTGTGGCTTTCTTTTTCAGATTTTGTTGATGGACCTATTCACCACAAGGCCTTACTTATATCTGTGACTGTCTGTAGTTTACTCTTGGTCCTCATTATTTTGTTCTGTTACTTCAGGTAAGTATTAGACAGATACATAGAGTTTCGCCTGCATAATGAGATCCCTACATGAATGTTTTTTCCTGCTGTTGCCTGTCGGGTTTTGCATCATGGCCTTCTTTGTCCCTAGATTGTAGGTTTATCTGAAAATGTCTACTACCATTAACAAAGACTTACCCAAGTGAAGCTATAAATAGATGCTGTCTCATTTCTGTTTCAGACACCACAACCACTCAGATAAATTTTTCATCCCTAAGGAAACATGGATAAATGGAAAATTTAGTGACTAGTTATGACTTGGGTTTAATTCTAAGCAAAGAAGAAACCATATGGGAGTCTGAGTGCTTTTAGTAATTCCTTATTTCCTGACGAAAAAATTCCTCTAGTATTATAACATTTATAGAGTAAACATTAAAATAAACTAAGTTTAGTTATATAAAAGTTTTTTAGTCAAGAACTTATTTTCTACTTTGTGAAACATAAAGGTTTAAATGTCCATATCATTTGACAATCCTAATATTCAACCATAACATTTTATAAGTTCATAAATTAGTTGATTAAAATAAATTTTTGAAGACATTACAATAGCATGTTTTAAAGTTTAACTTCATGTCATAGTTATTGTATTGTCTTGTACATTTTTGTATGTGAAAGAGTCTCCTTGCATACTTTTATAAATGAAAAAACTTGTATATTTAATTACCTAGGGAACATAAAGGAAATGTTTCTAGGAAACAGATATCGGAGCTACTTGGAAATACTAACAGAATGTAGTCTGCTTGTATAGTAATTGACAGACATAGAAAAGAAAACCTATACATGATTGAATGAAAAACATTCCAAGGGTAGCAAATAGCATTTGATCTTATGTTTATTGCTAAATTCCATGATTAATGTTTGTCTGTGATGTTTTATATCTGTCATTGCATTTAAGATTTTAATACTGTCTCCCTTGTCCATGCTTAGGTATAAAAGACAAGAAGCCAGGCCTCGGTACAGCATTGGGCTAGAGCAGGATGAGACTTACATTCCTCCTGGAGAGTCCCTGAGAGACTTGATTGAGCAGTCTCAGAGCTCGGGAAGTGGATCAGGTCTCCCTCTGCTGGTAGGAGAAGAATATAACACAAATTCCAAGGAAATGTGTTCTGAGGGGAATGTCTGTCTGCTTCACCTTCCTTACAGAGCAGTAGACAAGAAGGCTCTATGCCCTTGGGTGTCAGATCTTAGCTGTGGGGCTTCCTGATAACATTTGACATACAGACGGTGAGCTTATTGTTCTTTAATGTGTCTGGTTAAAGCCAGCCCCTCAGACATCCTGATGAAGAATGAGTTAGAAATATTAAATGTTTTTGGTGAGGATAGCCTTATTGTACTTTGACCTGGCTATTGAAAAGTATTACCCCTGACATCTGCAAAGAAGGAAAGTTGCATTTCAGCTGCAGGCTGAGGTTTCAGGCTGAGGTCTGTGTCATCCATTCAGGAGAGGTTGAATTTCTGATAGTATGGACTGTCAACTTCAACAAGAACATATCCAAATCCAACATATCCATTCCAAATCCAGGTCACTTTCTTGGCTAAGAAAAATGTTTGATTCTTTTATAGACCACAGAAGAAGCTTTATTATTTTAGAGAGAGGTGGGGCATATATGAATATGTGTGGGTGCACACATGTCATGGTGTCCAAATTCTGAGTGGAAGTCAGAGTCGACTTGTAGGAATTGGTTCCTCACTATTGGGTTATGGAGGATTGAACTCAGTCTCAGTGGCAAGCCCCTTCACTCACTGAGCCATCTTGCTGGCCCCTTTGAGACTGGAGATTGACTGTCCGACTTCAGGCTCTGATTCTGATTTGCATGTCTTCTGGACTTGTTTCGTTTCATCTGACCATCTCAGATTTACCTTCATAGTTCAGTTTTGAGATCAAACAGAGAACAACCTCTGCATGTGCAGCCATGTTAGTCACGATAAGCAGAATGATAGTACTTAGGACTTTAAACATTGCCCAGGTTCTGATGAACAAACTGGTTTTTATTTTTATAATTTAATTCACGCGTAGCAATTCTAACTACAGTATTTGTAACTCTTTAGTGTAGTATTCTTTTTTTTTTTTTTTTAAGTACAAATAGTGAAACCCACTGGTACGAATGACTTAGATGCTTCTGCTCTTGGAAATGTTACTTATTTGAGCTTAGTTTTTCCCAAGAAAGTTTTTCCTATGAAGCTGTTGTTGCCTTTTTATATTCTTTGAATGCTGCTTTTAATCTTGGCCTAGATGCAATAATGTAACACCTCCCACCATCTGCAGATCTTCTTTTCTCAGCTTCATATGAAGAGTTTTTAAACTCCACCTGACTCCTGATCTTTCTTCCTGCTCCCCTGCCTGCAGCCTTAGCTCCAGCATTGCCTCTGAGCAGCTCTCCTCCAAATAAAACACACGTCTCTATGTTTGCAAATGCAATCACTTTGTGGAACATTCTTCTAGTTTATGGCTCAAGGCCTCCTTCATTTTACCTCTCAGCACGTCTCAGTTATCTCAGCCTAGAGTCCAGGTATCCTTCGTCATGACATTGTCCTTTTACTAATAATGTTGCAGTTTAAATGATGTACCTTACTTGGGGGTGGGATATACTCCTTTGTATTCACTTCCTATCCTTCCCAGAGTCTCTCCAACCCATTAAACAGGATGCTCAGTCATTTGATGTAAAAAGCTTTCAGCTCTAGAGTTTTACCATCCGCAGGGACCTTGTTTATATATCCCAGCCCACCACCAATGTTTGGCTTCTCTCTCTCTATCTGCTTCTTATTGCTGCAGTAAAATACTGGAGAAAAACAAATTCAAGGAAGAATTCTTAATTTTTATTTATTTTTTCATACTCTATGTTTTGATTATGTTTTCCCCTCTCCAACTCCTCCCAGATTCTCCCTACTTTCTTACCCACCCAACTTCATGTTCTCTCTTGTTCTTGTTCTCTCTTGAAACAGAAAACAAAACAAAAAAGAACAACACAAAAAACCAATACTACAAAATACCCAAAGTAAAATCCCATAAAAAAATTCATGGACTATGTTTTGTTGTTGTTGTTGTTGTTGGACAATAACTCTTAGGCCTGGGATCTTCCCTGGAGTGTGATTGATATACCCAGTGGCATTCCATTGGAGAAAACTGATTTTTCCTTTGTCAGTAGGTATCAATTGCAAATAGTTTCTTGGTTAGGGGTGTGACCCTGTATCCACTTCCTATTCTTAGTGCTAGGATTTTGTCTGGCTAGAATTTATGCATGCTGCTATTGTTTCTGTGACTTTATATGTTGTGCTGAAGACACTGTTTCTTTGGAATAATTCACCACTTTTGGCTCTTACAATCTTTCTGCCTCCTTTTCCAAATAGATCTCTCAGCCCTGAGTAATGGGGTTTGATGAAGACATTCCCTTTAAGACTGAGTGCTCCAAAGTCTCTCACTTTGCATATTGTCCAGTTGTGGCTCTCTGTGTTAATTTCCATCTACTGCAAGAAGAAACTTCTCTGAGGAAAGTGGAGTGACATAGTTATCTATGGGCATAGAAATATGTCATTAGGAGTAATTTGTTAGTTTCCCTCTGGTGGAATAATAATAGTAGACTTTCCCCTAGGCCCATGACTTACCTAGCTTGAGATCCTTGGCCACTTCAGTAGTGTCTAGTGTGGATTCAGTCTCATGGAATGGGCCTTAAACTCCATCAGAAAGTTGTTGGTTACTCCCATAACATTGCCACCGTTGCACCAGCATATCTTGTAGGCAGGTCACTGCTGTAGCCGACAGGGTTTGTAGCTAGTAATTACTGATGATTGCCTTTTGTTGCATGAATCTTAAAAGTTCTTATTAATAAAATCAAACCAGAGGCCAGTTATTGGGGTGAGCACGGGAAGATCAGAGAGCCAGAACAAGCCACAGCTACCTCACCTCGACGGATCCTCAGCTGGTCTTGCTTCCTTAGACTGGAGGCCTCTGAGTCCTCATCCAGAATGGGTCTCAGCTGAATTGCTGCTCAAAAGCCTGAATGCTTAACCAGGCCAAATGCTTCTTGTTTCTGGTCTTCATGCCTTATATATCTTTCCTTTCTACCATCACTCCCTGGGATTAAAGGCTTGCTTTCTGAGATTAAAGGCGTGAGTCACTATGCTTGGCTGTATCCTTGAACAGATGGATTTCTGCCTCTGGAATGCTAGGATTAAAGGCGTGTACTACCACTGCCTATCCTCATGTTTAATATTGTGGCTGTTCTGTCTCTGACCCCAGACAAGTTTATTAGGGTTCACAATATTTTGGGGAACACAATACCACCACAACATTTCTCTTCTGATGGTGTCCTAGAATGGTTAATATTATTGCTTTTCTTGCTAGGTTGGCTGGGTTGTCCAATCCAGAGATTATCCTTTATAAATGTGTTCCTGTTAACTATTTGTAGTAGCCACATTAGATAAAAATCCATGTGATCACTAATGATGGAGATATAGTCTAAGAAATGCATCTCTAGTCAATTTTATTGCCATATGAACATAAAGGCATGTTTTTACACAAAGTAATATAGCTCTGTTACCACTAGGGAATTTAACCTTATAATACCATCATTGTTTATGCAGATCATGGTTGATCAAAAACAAACAAACAAACAAAAAACTATGTACCACTGGACTGGACTAGAAATATATCCTTGCATTAATTTAGGGATATAGACCCAATATAGATATATTGACTAACTAAGTCAATTAGTTAGTATATGGAGAAGCCAAATTCCAGTTCAGACTGTGAGCCTCTAGAATCCATGTTACTGACATTCTTAATATGTTAAGTTCAATGTTAGTTGAATAAGGAAATCTATGTGGATAGCAGCATAGAAAAGAGGTTCCCAGGAGATGGAGATCCATGAAGAAGTCATATAGTCTAAGCATCATGGCTATATCTAGTCTTAAGATGTGAGCTTGAGCTAAACATTGGAGCAGAACAGAATGGTAGTGGTGTTGTTAAGGGAATGGTGCTCATAAATTACAACTGATTGGTTACTTATTTTCTTAACACAGTGGGAAATTTTTATGTTTCATCTATGTACATATACGTGGACATAGTATTTTCCAAGTTACTTTTGGAAACCTCTCTTTGTATTGGTTACTTATTTTCTTAACACAGTGGAAAATTTTTATGTTTCATCTATGTACATATACGTGGACATAGTATTTTCCAAGTTACTTTTGGAGACCTCTCTTTGTATTTCTTC